GCCCATGCCTATAATCCCTGCACTTTGGGAGGCCAAGCCAGGAGGATCACTTGAGTCCAGGAGTTCAGACCAGCCGTTTCTACAAAAAATTGTTTAAAAATTAGCTGGGCATGATGGCATGTGCCTGTAGTCCTAGCTACTTGAGAGGCTGAAGTGGGAAGCTCGCTTGAACCTGCAAGGTCGAGGCTGCAGTAAGCAGTGACGGCACCACTGCACTCCAACCTGGGCAACAGAGTGAGACCCTGTCTCAAAAAAAAAAAGAAAAACAACGACACATTTGAGCTACTCTGTTTATACTTCATCACTCACAGCAAAAGTCTGCAGAGTCTAAGATTAAACATCCTTTAGCTGCAGATTACCCAATAAATGAGTGTGGCAGCAATGGGAAAGAGGAGATGTCAACAACGCTGAGGATAAAGGATAAAGGGATCAGGAACAGGTAAGCTCCAAAGAAGAATCATCTCAGTCTGTGGAGAGAAAAGAAAGTGCCTTTTCTGAACTAGTGCCCAGGTCACAGGAAGGAATGGAGTGTCAGAACTTCTTTCCTTATCACTCACATTAATCTGTGGCAGTCATCCACTTCCACTAACACCATCAAGGGCCAGGTAATGTGCTAGGTGCCACAGGGGGTACCAAGAATGAGTAAGATGGACTGTTTACCAAGATTTTTTAAATTTGGCAAGTGCTAGGAAGAGAAGAGCGGGCATAGAGCAGTCCCCAATATTCCCTTTCATTTGGGAGCTCAGACTTCCCTCTTTGGAGCCTCACCAGAGGCCTAGGGCCCAGAAGGCAATGCCAGACCCCAAGCAAGAAGGGGACATCTATAATCCAACCTATAGGCTTCCAAATCCTAAATGAGATCATCAATCCTAACCCCAATCTATGGTCCCATTAAGTCCCAGATCTAGAAAGGGCACAGATGCCAAGTGAGGCCCCTGTTGCCTGCTAGGGCAGACGGGAACTTCACACTCTAACCCAATGGCTCCTGAGGTCCCAGGCTCATGAAACCCATTTCACTAACTTGGGAAAGTCACCTAACCTCTCTGGGCCTGTTTTGTAACCTGTTGATTGAGAAAGTTACAATTTTAAGTTCCCTATAAACAACAAGAATTAAAAAAAAAAAAAAAAAAAAAAAAAAGGCCGGACGCGCCTGTAATCCTAGCACTCTGGGAGGCAGAGGTGGGTGGATCACCTGAGGTCAGGAGTTCAAGACCAGCCTGGCCATCATGGCGAAACCCCATCTTTAAAAAGTAAATAAATAAATACTTTTTTTTAAAAGGGGAAAAAAATCAAAGGGAAGACATAAACAAAAATAATAAAAACAAAAAAAGTCAAGTTCCCTCTCATCTAAAATCATTTGAGTCATCCCAAGCTGCCCAGCCTGCAGTAGCCTCAGGTCCTAACTCCAAGCCAGGTCCCATGAGCACTCCCAACCCTTTTTGTGGACACTACTCAAAGGTTTCGACTCATGGCTCTCCAGGCTATAAACCAGTTCTACACATTCACGCCCAACTTTCAAACAGGGAGAGCCTTAGATTTCCTCCCATCTCAACCGGCTCTCACAGCATATCTCATTTCTCACTCTGCCCCACGTGTTGGAGATGCTCCTCCTCCCCTCCCCGTAAGTCATAAATCATTATCAAAAAAGTCTCCCGACCTCCAGTGCCTGGAACGTAACACTGATTCTGGACAATTCACCTCCAATTCGCAGGAAACCTGGGTTATACAGCTAATTGTCTGCCTTCAGCCTGTAATCTAGATACTCAACCCAGGGCTCACTCTACCCCTCAAACCTTTCCAGTCTCTAACCCCTTAGTGGAGCTAATTAGCCTTTAGATTCCCTAATACAGCATCTCAACACTGAATCCCTAGGGCACTCCAATCCTAACTCCGACTGCCCCGACCTCCAATTTGGACCCTCCTTGAAATGCCTCACCAGAACCGAGACCCCGGCCAGCGTTCCCCGCAGGCCTCAATCCCCGGCCCGCTCCAGGCAGGTCCAGGGCTTCTGGATCTCCGGCCGCCTTGACCTTGGAGTTCGGCAGGCTCTGCCGCCAAGCCCAGTCCTGCCGCTCACCTGGGTGCCTTTACCGGCCCCGGGAGGTCCAAGCAGCACCGCCCGGATGCCTTTAGGGTACTCGGGTTCCGCCGCTGGCACGCTGGGAGCCATATCCGCGGAAGTCTCTCACACCCGCTCGCACCACTCACAGGTCCAGTGCTTTCCAGGCCATCGCGCCACGCACGCCACGCACGTCCCACTCGCCGCTCACACTGGCCCGTCGCCGCGTCAGTCAGCCCATTCCTCCCGCCCCTGAGCACGACGGACACTTCATCTTACCAACCGCACGGCGATACTGAGGAAGACTGCTTTTGATTGGACAGAATTGGTGCGGGAGTAAGAAAGGGGCGGGACAGCATGGACTACTGGCGGCGGGTGTGCGGAGTGGGCGGGAAAACGCGAAGGGGGACGAGACGTCCGGCCCGAGGTCTGTTCGGTATTTGACAGTTGATGACACCAGCAACTCCACTGAAGTCCTATTAAATTGCGCGTGGGAGTTTAAATGGGTAAAACCACTCTCAGAAGACAAATTGGCAATATGTTTCAAATACTCTTTGGTCCAGCAATTCCACTTCCAGGAGTTCAAAAGATAAAATCAAGGATATGAGTAAAGATGTGTGTAACAAATGTTAATTGCAGCACTTGTAACAGCCCGAGACAAACCATAAAATAACAGCAAAACGGGCCGGGCGCGGTGGCTCACGCCTGTAATCTCAGCACTTTGGGAGGGTGAGGCGGGTGGATCACCTGAGGTCTGGAGTTCAAGACCAGCCTGACCAACATGGAGAAACACCGTCCGTCTCTACTAAAAGTACAGAATCAGCCGGGAGTGGTGGCGCGCTCCTGTAATCCCAGCTACTCGGGAGGCCGAGGCAGGAGAATCGCTTGAACCCGAGAGGCAGAGGTTGCGGTCGGTGAGCCGAGTTGGTGCCATTGCACTCCAGCCTGGGCAACAAGAGCGAAATTCTATCTTTAAAAAAAAATTCTCTTCTCCTTTCCTCCTGATCCCCACTTCTGATTTAGCCCTTTAGAAATTCAAATATAGCCTTTTACCCACTCCTTCACTAGACACGCCCTTCAGCGCAAGCTCATCTAATTCTTGGAAAATTAACAGACCAAAGCATGCCCGCCAGGGAACTTTCACCTTGGAACTTCCACCTTCTGGGGGATTGCTTCGAACTCACACCCATCAGGAAGGCATGTTGAAAGCATGCCCACTTGGCCACTTTTACAACTTACTTCTGCACTGACTCAACTGCCCAGTAGATAAACCACCAGAGCTAATGGGCACCTTCCTCCCCCTGCTCACTTCCTCCCACCACTTATAAAAGGCCCGCTTTCTTCTCCAAAAGGGAAGTGGCACGTTTAAAAGCAGGATGCTTTGTGCCCCTTCCCCAAGCTAGCTTCCAAATAAATTCATTTTTTCGTCTCAGACCTTGCTCTTTTTAATTGGACTCTGAATGTAGTGAGCAACTAACCTGCTTTTCAGTTACAACATAATGGCAGCCTCTGAAGTCAGAAAAGGCAAGGAAATGGCTCCCCTAGAGCCTCCGAAGGAACATGAGCCTGAAGATATTTTGATTTTAGCCCCATAAGACCTATTCTGAACTTCTGGCCTCCAAAACTTTAAGGTAATAAGTTTTCGTTGTTCTAGACCACCAAGTTTGTGGTATTTGGAAACTAACAGCAAAAGGAAACTAGTACATATTCTTTGGATATAAGCAATAGAAATAGACTCTAGCTACATCAAGCAAAACCAGAATTCATTGAGAGGATTCAGTTGTACAACCACAGGCCTTGGAAGCGATTAGGAGCCAGAGCTGTGTTGAGTAATCTAGACATAAGGAAATAAGGAATAAACTGTGATGAGGGGAACATTGACCCTGCCCCAGTTTTTTCCATGTGGAGGGAACTCCTTTAGAGTGACATTCTTCTCTCTTCCCTTCAACCACCTAATGCCCCCAGAGGATACACAGGTTGAGCATCCCTAATCTAAAAATCTGAAATCTGCAGTGCTCCAAAATTAAAAACCTTTTCTTTTAGAGACAGTCACGCTCTGTCACCCAGACTAGAGTGCAGCAGTGCAATCATAGCTCACTGTAACTTCCAACTCCTAGGCTCAAGGGATCCTCCCACCTCAGCCTCACAAGTAGCTAGGACTACGAACCACCGTAGTCCACCCTTGAAATTTTCTGAGCACTGATGCCCCAAGTAGAAACTCCCACACTAATAGGTGTGATGGCTCTCACCTGTAATCCCAGCGCTTTGGGAGGCTGAGGTAGGAGGAATTGCTTGAGGCCAGGAATTTGAGACCAGCCCAGACAATCTATTGAGGCTTGGCCTCTACTAACAATAAAATTAGCCAGGGATGATGGTACACTCAAGGAGTCCCAGCTACTTGGGAGGCTGAGGTGGAAAGACTGCTTGAGCCCAGGAATTCGAGGCTGCAGCCAGCTATGATAGCACTACTGTGGTTGAGGCGGAAGGATTATGTGAGTCCAAGAGTTCAAAGCTACAGCCAGGTATGATGGTGCCACTGCATGACAGTCTGAGTGATAGAGCAACACCTTGTCTCTGAAAAAAAAAATCCACACCTGACCTCATGTGAAAGGTCCCAGTCAAAACACATACAATACAGTTTCTTCAGCATCTCCAGGTTTTATTTTGATGCTGCTACTATGCTACTTATTTACCCTGAACACATTAGTTTTTCACTGTATTAATGGTAGGTCATTTTTTAACTGTTGACTATTTCTATGTGAATAAGTGTAAAAAAATGATACAGCATATAAATTCAGAGTCATGAATGATGGTGATGCTGAACAATCAGATTTTCCAGATCCAGATGGATGTCTAAGTGACACTTTTGTTTTCCAATGATTCAGTATACAAAACTTGGTTTTGTGCACAAAATTATTAAAAATATTATATAAATTGCCTCTGCGTCCAACTGCCTGGGACCAAGCCCGGGTGTATGGGGCCGCAGGAACCAGCTCCGGGGCCCCGATAACGGGCCGCCCCCACAGCACCCCAGCCTGGCGTGAGGGTCTCCCTTGATCTGAGAATGGCTACCTCTCGATACGAGCCAGTGGCTGAAATTGGTGTCAGTGCCTATGGGACAGTGTACAAGGCCCGCGATCCCCACAGTGGCCACTTTGTGGCCCTCAAGAGTGTGAGAGTCCCCAATGGAGGAGCTGGAGGAGGCCTTCCCGTCAGCACAGTTCATGAAGTGGCCTTACTGAGGCGACTGGAGGCTTTTGAGCATCCCAACGTTGTCCGGCTGATGGATGTCTGTGCCACATCGCGAACTGACCGAGAGATCAAGGTAACCCTGGTGTTTGAGCATGTAGACCAAGATCTAAGGACATATCTGGACAAGGCACCCCCACCAGACTTGCCTGCAGAGACCATCAAGGATCTGATGCGCCAGTTTCTAAGAGGCCTAGATTTTCTTCATGCCAATTGCATCGTTCACTGAGATCTGGGGCCAGAGAACATTCTGGTGACAAGTGGTGGAACAGTCAAGCTGGCTGACTTTGGCCTGGCCAGAATCTACAGCTACCAGATGGCACTTACACCTGTGGTGGTTACACTCTGGTACCGAGCTCCCGAAGTTCTTCTGCAGTCCACATATGCAACACCTGTGGACATGTGGAGTGTTGGCTGTATCTTTGCTGAGATGTTTCGTCGAAAGCCTCTCTTCTGTGGAAACTCTGAAGCTAACCAGTTGGGCAAAATCTTTGACCTGATTGGGCTGCCTCCAGAGGATGACTGGCCTCGAGATGTATCTCTGCCCCGTGGAGACTTTCACCCCAGAGGGCCCCGTTCAGTGCAGTCGGAGGGGAGTTTCACTCTTGTTGCCCAGGCTGGAGTGCAATGGCATGATCTCAGCTCACTGCAACCTCTGACTCCCAGGTTCAAGTGATTCTCCTGCCTCAGCCTCCCAAGTAGCTGGGATTACAGGTGCCCGCCACCATGCCCAGCTAATTTTTTGTATTTTTTGTAGAGGGGGGTTTCACCATGTTGGCCAGGCTGGTCTCAAACTCCTGACCTTAGGTGATCCACCCACCTCAGCCTCCCAAAGTGCTGGTATTACAGGTATGAGCCACCGTGCCCAGCCTCTTTTTTTTCAGATGGAGTCTCACTCTGTCACCTGGGCTGGAGTGCAAGTGGTGCAATCTCAGCTCATTGCAACCTCCGCCTCCTGGGTTCAAGAGATTCTCCTGCCTCAGCCTCTCAAGTAGCTGAAACTACAGGTGTCCACCACCACACCCAGCTAATTTTTGTACTTTTAGTAGAAAAGTCCAGTGCACCTGAGATGGAGGAGTTGGGAGCACATCTGCTGTTGGAAATGCTGACTTTTAACCCACACAAGCGAATCTCTGCCTTTCGAGCTCTGCAGCACTCTTACCTACATAAGGATGAAGGTAATCCGGAGTGAGCAATGGAGTGGCTGCCATGGAAGGAAGAAAAGCTGCCATTTCCCTTCTGGACACTGAGAGGGCAGTCTCTGCCTTTGTCTCTGAGGCTGTAGAGGCTCCACCTCCATCTTTCTACAGAGATTACTTTGCTGCCTTAATGATATTCCCCTCCTACCTCTCCTTCTGAGGCCTCTCCTTCTGCCCCCCTATTTCCTACACTAAGGGGTATGTTCCCTCGTGTCCCTTTCCCTACCTTTATATTGGGAGTCTTTTTTTATACAGGAAAAACAAACAAAAAAAATATTATATAAAATTACCTTCTGGCTATGTATATAAGGTCTATGTGAAACATGAATGAATTTATATTTAGACTTGGGTCCCATCCCCAAGGTATCTCATTAAGTATATGCAAATATTCCAAAATCTGGAAATGATCCAAAATCTGAAATACTGCTGGTCCCAAGCATTTTGGATTAGGGATACTCAACCTGTATCTCATTAGTGAATATGGGGAGAATGAGCGAGGCACAACTCAGTCCCCTCCTCTCTTTTTCTCTTTCAAATATGCCTGCCCTTAAGAAGCACGATTTTTTGCCCTCTTCCTCCATGTTCTGTTAATACATTTCCCACAGTCTAGCCCTCACAGAGAGGACTATGATTGGTCAGGCACAGTCCTCACACCTGTAATCCCAGCACTTTGGGAGACCAAGGTGGATCAATCACTTGAAATCAGGAGTTCAAGACCAGCCTGGCCAACTTTGCAAAACCCCATCTCTACTAAAAGTACAAAAATTAGCTGGGTGTGGTGGTGGACACCTGTAGTTTCAGCTACTTGAGAGGCTGAGGCAGGAGAATCTCTTGAACCCAGGAGGCGGAGGTTGCAATGAGCTGAGATTGCACCACTTGCACTCCAGCCCAGGTGACAGAGTGAGACTCCATCTGAAAAAAAAGAGGCTGGGCACGGTGGCTCATACCTGTAATACCAGCACTTTGGGAGGCTGAGGTGGGTGGATCACCTAAGGTCAGGAGTTTGAGACCAGCCTGGCCAACATGGTGAAATCCCCCTCTACAAAAAATACAAAAAATTAGCTGGGCATGGTGGCGGGCACCTGTAATCCCAGCTACTTGGGAGGCTGAGGCAGGAGAATCACTTGAACCTGGGAGTCAGAGGTTGCAGTGAGCTGAGATCATGCCATTGCACTCCAGCCTGGGCAACAAGAGTGAAACTCCATCTCAGAAAAGAAAAGAAAAAGAGAGAGCACTATGATGATTTTCTAGTACTGCCTGTGACCAGGTGGAAAAGTTTAACCTGGGGGTCCAGAATTCATAACCCCGCTTTTCTATCAGGAAATGCATATCTCATGCAGCTTTGTTAATAAAAATGATATTCTGATCTCCCTCTGCCTCACTTCTGAGGTTATCCCCTCATTTGGGTCTAAACATGGGTGAGGCAACCCCAAAACCCAACAAGCAATTTCTTATGGTTGCTATGATTTGAATGACTCAGTTCCAACCAATTTCTGTGTGCTATAACTGGAAACTGAGCAACGCCATTTTATAAAAGACAAAAGCTGTTTTCCAAAAATAAGTTGCCCCATTCTCCTCACAATGACTGCTAACCTTGGCTTCTGTAAATAAAACTGCTAGTGCTCAGTATGTAAAGCTGCTTACCTTTTCTTATCAGTGACTACCAGAATTGCTGGCCTTTGCTTGCTGGTAATGACCAGAATAAGCAGCCCAAGTTAATTCCATCCTGGCTCCTATGACTTGTAATAAGTAACTAAAAATCTGTGGATCCCACCTCTGCCCAGACAATGTGTAAACTAACGCTTATCTTGACTTCTGTAAACCACTTAGGTAACAATCGAAGTGACAAGTCCCCTAGCCCTTGGAATGTCCGGAGACCTGCTCCCTCCTCTCTGCCCAGGAGGTGATTTACGGAATCCCCTGGCCCTCAGAATGTCTGAATCCCTTCACCCCCAGCCCCGGAGGTGGTTTACGGGTATAAAAGAGTCTTGTCATCCTTTATTCGGGGCCACGGGTTGGAGAGACGTGAGTCCTCCTTGGTCGCCGGCAATAAAGACCCTACAATTTGGCATACTTTTGTCTTGGTGTTGACTTTCTATGCTCGGGCCAGTACAACATCTGTATCTGTGTCATTCCATTTCAAGACTTTAATTTTTGGCTTGGCTTGGATCTCCTGTTCATCCCTTGGCAATGGTGGAGAGGAACTTAATTGACAGTTCCCTCAAGACTACAGGGAATGGAAAAAGTAGTTTCTTAAGCAAATGGTAGCAGTTTCTAAAATAAGAGGAAGGAGATATTGAGCAGGCAGAAACAACAGATGTCCTTTGCAGGGAGCTATGGCAAAGGCCCAGGAGAAAGAAAAGGAAGGCCTAGACTATGGAGGTAGAATTAATGGGACTTGACACCAGACCAAATGGGAATAAGAATGACTGAGTCATGGGGCCAAGTGACTGGGGGGGGGGGATGATAGTACCTTTGTATTCATCTCATTCATTCATTAACTGATTCATTCAACATACAATTAAGGAGCGTTTATTACATGTCTAGTACTGTTCTTGATGCTAAGGATTCAATGGTGAATAAGGAGGCCAGGGTCAGTCTAGGTGCAGTGGCTCATATAGTCTGTAAACTCAACACTTTGGGAGGCCGAGGTGAGAGAATTGCTTGAGGCCAGAAGTTTGAGATCTGCCTGGGCAACATAGCCTGGGCTTGGCCAGTGGGATGTCCTACCTGGGACTTTGACCCTTGAGGGAGAGAAAGGAAGGGGCAGGGTCTGTTTTTGGTGTGGAGGTGAGAGTCCAGCAGCAGTGGGTGGACAATGGCCAGTCATGGCTGTCCAAGTAGGCTTTTCCTGTGCCTTTTCTTTGGCTGTGTTCTTAGCCTAATTGCTTTTGGTTCCTACTCATGTTTGAAATTTGTGAGAACCCCCCCAAAAAATTTTTTAAAATTAGCCCGGTGTGGTGGTATTCACCTTTAGTTCTAGCTGACAGAGGAGTATCGCCATCTTGGACAAGCATTGTCATTTAAAAAATTCACCTTAATCAAAAACTGCCTGAATCCAAAGGGCATCAGCCTAATGGCTAAGGTCAGCATGACCATTAACCATAGATAACATCTCTAACCAGAAACATTCCAAACTCCTCCCCCACCAGAGACTTGCTAGCCCCAAAATAACCCCCTTCCAGCTGGGAAGATGCCAGACCTGAGATAACCCTCCTCCTGCTGAAAAGATGTCAGCCCCAAGATAACCTCCCTTCTGCCCAGAACATCCCAATCCTACCATAAACTTCTCCCCAACACATAAACATTCCAAGGTTGTAATAAGCCCCCTCACCCTAAAACCAATATACGCTATTTGTAAGAGAAAGTACTCCTGACCAAAAGTGGCCAGAAGCCCCTCTCAGGTTTTTTTCTCTAAAATAAACTTGTCTTTAACTGGTTAAGCTGTGTTTTGTGTTTCTTTCCTCTTTCTTTAACTTTTACACTAGATACTTGGGAGGCTGAGGTGTGTGAATCACTTGAGGCCAGAAGGTTGAGGCTGCAGTGAACTATAATTAGGCCACTGCACTCCAACCCAGAGTTTAGAGACAGAGCGAGACCCTGTCTCTAAAAACAAAACAAAAGCAAGGTTTCCACCTTTAGAAAAATCTCCACTTTGAGGCTGGGTATGATAGCTCATGCCTGTAATCCCAGCACTTTGGGAGGCCAAGGTGGGAGGATCACCTGAGGTGAGGAGTTTGAGACCAGCCTGACCAACATGGTGAAACCCCATCTCTACTAAATATATGAAAAAAAAAAAAATAGCTGGGTGTGGTGGTGATTGCCTATAATCCCAGCTACTGAGGAGGCTGAGGCTCAGGAGAATCGTTTGAACTTGGGAGGCGGTGAGCCAAGATTGCACCACTGCACTCCAGCCTGGGCGACAAGAGCTGAAACTCCATATTAAAAGAAAAGAAAAGAAAAGAAAAGAAAACTCTCCACTCTTACAGAACTTGCAGTCAAGTGGGGGGAAAAATAAGACGTTGATGGAGGCTGTGCTGGGGAAAGCACAGGCTTTAGTAATAACACAATAAAAAAGCCTTTAGCTCAGATTTGAGGGGAAATGACATGGAAGTGAAATCTTAAGATCTCACTTAAGAAACTTAAGAACAAGGAGGATTTGTTTAGAGGAGAGAGGGAAGAACGGTATTCTAGACAAAGGGAATGGCATATGCAAAGACCTGGAGTCAAGAAAGGTTATGACAAGAGGCTGAGGTTATGACAGGACTGTGCTTCTTCCAGGCTCACACCTGTAACCTCAGCACTCTGGGAGGCTTAGGTTAGGAGTTCATGACCAGCCTGGCCAACATAGTAAAACCTCATCTCTACTGAAGATACAAAAATGAGCCAGGTGTGATGGTAGGCACCTGTAATCTCAGCTACTCAGGATGCTGAGGCATGAGAATTGCTTGAACCTGGGAGGCAGAGGTTGCGGTTAGTCGAGATCAGGTCACTGCACTCTAGCCTGAGGGTTAGAGCAAGACCCTGTCTCCAAGAAAAAAAAAAAGAGAGAGATTATAGAAAGTTGAGGGAAACTGTGATACTCAGCAGAGGAACACCCCTCTTGCGTTGTGGAAATCCTCTACTGCAAGGAACTTGGGAAAAAACAGAACAACTCTGCAGAAGCTGAAAGGGCAGACTCTTGCCTGCCTTCTTGGCAACAGGAGAGTGAACATGTGACAGTGGGAGGTCCTGTCCAGGACTTTGACTCTTAAGGGAGAGAGAGGACGGGGCAGGGCCTGTTCTTGGTGGGGAGTTGAGAGTCCAGTCGCAGTGGGTGGATGATGGCCAGTTGTGGCTGTCCAGGTAGGCTTTTCCTGTGTTGTGTCTTTGGCTGTGTTCTTGGCCTGATTACTTTTGGTTCCTACTCATGTTTGGAATTTGGGAGTACCTCACGGTATTCAATAAATTCCTTCACTGCTGAGGTTAGCCACCAAGACTCCTGATTGGTAGAGAGTTGAAAGACGGTCGGTCTGGCTGGAGTTACAATTGAAGAGAGTAAGGAAAGAAAAAAGGGGGAGAGGAGATGGACTAGGGAAATTCTCTTGGGGGCTTTTGTGAGAGGCTTTACCTTCCAGGAAAAAGAGATGCATAAGAGGAAAAACTCCCTTTCTGCCCGCCTCAGGGCTGATACAGTGCTTAAAATATGACAGCTGTCTTGGGACCAAGTTGGGAGAGCTGCAAGACTCAGAGGGAAGCTGACCTAGGGGCTGACATCACTGAGCT